TATCGTTGTTAATTTTCTGTCTCATTGATCTGTCTAATATTAATGTTGAAGTCTCCCACTATTATTGTGTGGGAGTCTAAGTCTCTTTATAAGTCTTGTATGTCTGGGTATTCCTGTATTGGGTGCGTATATATTTAAGACCTTTAACTCTTCTTGTTGTTGCATTGATTCTTTTATCAATTCTTTTATAATGTCCTTCTTTGCTTCTTTTGATCTTTGTTGCTTTAAATACTATTTTATCAGAGGCAAAAATTGTAACTTCTGCTTTTTATTTATTTATTTTTGCTCTCTGGTTAGTTGGTAAGTCTTTCTCCATCCTTTGTTTTGAGTCTTTGTGTATCCTTGAATGTGAGATGGGTCTGGATGCAGCATACAGTTTTAGTTTTTTGTCCAAATTGGCTGTCTGTCTTTGAATTGGGGAATTTAGTCAATTTAAATTTAGAATTAATAATAATATACGTGAGTTTAATACTGCCATTTGCCCATTAGTTGATATAAATTCTTCATTATATTAATGTTCTTTACTTTTTGGTATTTTTTAGAAAGGCTGATACTGTTTGTTCCTTTCTATGTGTAGTGGTTCTTTCAGAAGCTCTTGTAAAGCAGGCCTGGTGGTGATGAATTCTCTGAGTGCTTGCTTGTTCACAAAAAACTTTATTTTTCCTTCACTTATGAAGCTTAGTTTGGCTGGATGTGAAATTCTTGGTTGAAAATTCTTTTCTTGCCGGGCGCGGTGGCTCAAGCCTGTAATCCCAGCACTTTGGGAGGCTGAGGCGGGTGGATCACGAGGTCGAGAGATCGAGACCAACCTGGTCAACATGGTGAAACCCCGTCTCTACTAAAAATACAAAAAATTAGCTGGGCGTGGTGGCACGTGCCTATAATCCCAGCTACTCAGGAGGCTGAGGCAGGAGAATTGCCTGAACCCAGGAGGCGGAGGTTGCGGTGAGCCGAGATTGTGCCATTGCACTCCAGCCTGGGTAACGAGCGAAACTCCATCTCAAAAAAAAAAAAAAAAGAAAATTCTTTTCTTTAAGGATGTTGAATATTGGTCCCCACTCTCTTCTGGCTTGTAGGGTTTCTGCTGAGAGATCTGCTGTAAGTCTGATAGGCTTCCCTTTGTGGTAACCTGACCTTTCTCTCTGGCTGCCCTTAGTATTTTCTCCTTCATTTCAACCCTGGTGAATCTGACGATTATGTGCCTTGGAGTTGCTCTTCTTGAGGAATATCTTTGTGGTGTTCTCTGTATTACCTGGAGTTGAATATTATCCTGCCTTACTAAGTTGGGAAAATTTTCCTGAATAATGTCCTGAAGCGTATTTTCCAGCTTGGATTCATTCTCTTTGTCACATTCAGGTACACCTATCAAGCGTAGATTAGGTCTTTTCACATAGTCCCATATTTCTTGGAGACTTTGCTCATTCCTTTTTATCCTTTTTTCTCTAATCTTGTCTTCTAGTTTTATTTCATTAAGTTGGTCTTCGACCTCTGATATCCTTTCTTCTGCTTGATCAATTCGGCTGTTAAAACTTGTGCATACTTCACGTAGTTCTCGTATTGTGTTTTTCAGCTCCATCAATTCACTTATTTTCCTCTCTAAATTTTGTATTCTTGTTAACATTTCGTCAAACCTTTTTTCAAAGTTCTTAGTTTCTTTAGATTGTGTTAGAACAAGTTCTTTTAATTCACAGAAGTTTCTTATTATCCACGTTTTGAAGCCTGCTTCTGTAATTGGAACCCACTCGTTCTCCATCAAGCCTTGTTCCGTTGCTGATGAGGAACTGGGATCCCCCGCTGAGGAAGAGGCGTTCTGATCTTGGGTATTCTCAGCCTTTTTTGACTGTTTTCTTCCCTTCTTTGTAGATTTATCCATCTGTGGTCTTTATAATTACCGTCTTTGTAATTGGGTCTCTGAGTGGACGTCCAACTTATTGATTCTCAGCGCCGAAATCTGAGCAACCCACTGCACCGACTAAATCAGCGGCGTTAAGATTGATGGTGCTTTTCTGACTCTGCACCGAGAACCGACGCTCTGAGGCGCCGGCAAAACCGCCTCGCTGGTCACAAGAGTCGCGCTGGCGACCCGTGGGGCTCCTCCGCTGGGAATCTCCTGGTGCGTGAGCAACAAGAATTCATGTGAAGGTGTGGCGTCCTCTCGTTCTTTGCGTTTTCACTGGGAGCTACAATCCCGAGCTGCTAGTGATCAGCCATCTTGGATCTCTCTCCAGAATTTTTTTTTCTTTTTTGAGACAAGGTCTCGCTATGTTGGCCAGGCTGGTCTCAAATTCCCAGGCTCAAGAGATCCTCCTGCCTCAGCTTCCCAAGTAGCTAGGACTGCAGGTGCATTCCACCACACCCAGCTCTAAAGACTAACTCTAGTCAGAAGTGATCAGACTCTGAATAAGTGACTCACATTATTAAAATTTATAAATTATTGTAATACACAATTCATTGCTATTATTTCTATAAAGTAATAAATAACTGGTACACCAACTCAATGTTGGTGTGCTCAGCATATTCGCTTCTATAATTAATTATATATGTTGGAAAACCACAACCACACACTTCTTTTTTTATTTTGAGACGGAGTCTTGTTCTGTTGCCCTGGCTGATGTGCAGTGGCATGATCTCAGCTCACTGTAACCTTTGCCTCCCAGGTTCGAACAGTTCTCCTGCTCCTGCCTTAGCCTCTCTAGCAGCTGAGATTACAGGCATGCATCACCACATCTGACTAATTTTTTGTATTTTTAGTAGAGATGGGGGGTTTTACTGTGTTGGCCAGGCTGGTCTCGAACTTCTGACCTCAAGTGATCTGCCTGCCTCAACCTCCCAAAGTGCTGGGATTACAGGCATGAGGCACCGTGCCCGGCTCACAACCACACCCTTCTGAATACTTGACTGAGAAATCAGAACAGAGGTCAGTATCTTGGAATGCCAAATGATCCTTTCTTTGCACATAGACTCAAAGGAAGTTAGATCATAATCTAAAGGTTGTTGAGTGATCTCAGAATCAAGACTAAAGAACTTTTTAGGGATTGAAAACTCAAAGGTTGCAGACACCAGGAAAGTAATGTAGAGGAGCCAAGCGGAGCAGGTGAGGACCGTGACCACCTAGATAGTCCATATCTCACCTACAGGGAGCAGTTGTTACTTAGCTGAAGTGGCTGCTTGCTGGTCCAAGTCCCTGCATAAGCCCAAGTGATGCCCTCCCAGTTAGATTCCAACATTATGGCTCTCAATTCATACTCATATGCTAGGTTGCTCTTGACTTGAATATTAGGCCATTGTGGCTGGATGTGAGGGCTTTGATTTTCCATCACCTGCTGTACTAAAACCAATTCTTTTCAGCCAAACCCATGTTGAGTCTTGTTCAGCAATTTACGTGCTCCCTTTCTTTCTAGTGAATTATCTTGTAAGCTTCTCTGCAAGATGGCTCATAGACCACTCTATCAGAGTTCCATAACTTCAGGCTTTGGAGAGTAGGGGTTATGATTTTCTTCCCTTTGCTCTTAAAAGATCCCTGGAGGCGGGGCGCAGTGGTTCATGCCTATAATCCTAGCACTTTAGGAGGCTGAGGTAGGTGGATCACTTGAGGTCAGATGTTTGAGACCAGCCTGGCCAACATGGTAAAACCTCGTCTCTACTAAAAATATAAAAATTAGCTGGACAAGGTGGCGAGTGCCTGTAATTCCAGCTACTTGGGAGGCTGAGGCAGGAGAATTGCTTGAACCTGGGAGGTAGAGGTTGCAGTAAGCCGGGATCGTGCCACTGCACTCCAGCCTGGGCGACAGAGTGAAACTCCGTGTCAAAAAAAAAAAAAAAATTCAGAATTATGACCATCATCTGCATCATCATATATATTAATTTCCTATGACTGCCATAACAACTTACCACCCCGCATGCCTTAAAACAACAAAAATTTATTTTCCCGCAGTTCTGAAGGCCAGAAGTCAAAAATCAAGGTGTTAGTAAGACCATATTGGTACCAGAATCTCTAGGGGAGAATCCTTTCTTCCCTCTTCTAGTTTCTGATGGTTCCAGGCAAGGGTTCCTTGGCTTGTGGCTGCATGATTCCAATCTCTTTCTGTGTGTTCAACGTGGCCTTTTTCTCTGTCTCCCTGTGTCTTCTCCTCTTCTATTTATTTATTTATTTTTAAGATGGGGGTTTCACCATGATGGCCAGGCTGGTCTTGAACTCCTGACCTCAGGTGATCCACCCATCTTGGCCTCCCAAAGTGTTAGAATTACAGGCGTGAGCCACCGCACCCGGCCCTATTTATTTTTAATAAGAACAATTGTCATTGGATTTAAGACTCATCTAGATAATTCAGGATGAATTTATCTTGAGATTCTTAATTATATTTGCAAAGACTATTTTTCCAAATAAGGTCACATTCCAGGAGTTAGGACACAGATACATCTTTTCTGGGGCCCTCATTCAAACCCCTACATATTATTTTATAGATGAGGAAATTTAGAATGAGAGAGATTAAGGAATTCACCCACAGCAAATTAGTCCCCTTCTACCACGGTGTTCTGCCCACTTAAGAACAGCAGATTTTGTAAAACTTCAGACACTAAAACAATCTTGTTATACTCTTCTTACGGGACATTTGGTTCCTGCTGATCCTACACTTGTATAACTGAAGGGATCGTTCAAGTGTGCCACCTCTAGGTCAGCTTCTAGTTTCAGGTGTATCTTACAAAGTATGATGACATCCTGTTACTTTACATCATAAAATTATGGCTCACTATCCTACCCTCAGGACCTTAGGTACTGAAGAATGAAAACCCATGGCCTTATTCTAGCCAATAAATTCAACGTCTGTCCCACTTTACTAGCCATTTCCCCAAACAGGAACAGTACAGACCGGCTTGTGTTTCATCTCATTGCGGAATGCAAGAGGACAAGGCTGAGAAACAGGGAGGTGACATAATAAAAAGTGTGTATAACATATTTCAAATCTCTTGCAAGGGGGAGTCTACCAGGTTTATTACATTCAGCTCAGAGATGGTTCTGTGGTTGTGGAGCTGGCCTTGTAAGGATTCTTCACCAGCTTGGCACACCGAAAAATCATCACTATTAGGAACAGAAACAGAACAACAACAAAGGCAATGGCAAAGCCTTTGTCCACATCGACACTGCTGGACAGGCTCGAATCTTCCATGGGGACTTGCACCTCGTTACTGTTGTCCAGCTCCAGCTACTTCCTCAGCTACAGCTTCAGATTTGTCATATTCCTAGACAAAGGAGGATAAAACAGGCTTACTGGTTTGTGTGTCTATGTACGTGTTTTCTTAATAACATTGTAGAAAACCAAAAAGGGACCAATGGTTGAAACAATATCAGCAAGATTTACTTAAGAAGCAGTTACGAAACTGGTAAATTTCATATAGATGACTGACAAGATATACATATATACACAAGCATAAAATATATGGAGAATTACTCCAAGGCAAAACGTGAACAAATGTATACAACCTAGAGTTCAGGTGGACCTTTCTTGTCCCCTAAGATTCAGGTAAAACTGTCTTAAGCATCTGAATTCTGTGTTAGGTAAAAATCCTCCTGTAAGATTACTTCAAATTCCAAGAATACTTATTGTACCTAGTTTGTTATATAGTCTTAACTCACTGGGCATGCACATGAAATTGTTTTATTTTTTCTGATGATTACATGTAATTGTGCTTTCTCATTCTCCTATCTTTATGAAAAATTAGGTATATCCCAGAAGTGATCAATTTCAATTATTAAAACTTACAGGCCAGGTGGGGTGGCTCATGCCTGTAATCCCAGCACTTTGGGAGGGTGAGGGGGGCAGATCACAAGGTCAGGAGTTTGAGACTAGCCTGGCCAACATGGTGAAACACTGTTTCTATTAAAAATACAAAAATTAGCCGGATGTGGTGGCGGGCACCTGTAACTCCAGCTACTCAAGAGGCTGAGGCAGGAGAATTGCTTGAACCTGGGAGGCAGAGGTTGTAGTGAGGCGAGACCACGCCATTGTACTCCAGCCTGGGTGACAAAGCAAGACTCTGTCTCAAAAACAAAACAAAACAAAAAACTTACTCCACCAAGAAAATGCTGAAAAAGAAAAAGTAAGAGAACTCATACTTCCTGATTTCAAAAACTCACTACAAAGCTACAGTAATCAAAACTGTGATACTGGTACAAAGATAGACATACAAATCAATGAACTAGAATTGAGAGTCCAGGGCTGGGTGCAGTGGCTAATGCTTATAATCGCAGAACTTTGGGAGGCTGAGGCAAGTGGATCACTTGAGGTTAGGAGTTCGAGACCAGCCTGGTCTCGAACATAATGAAACCCTGTCTCTGCTAAAAAAAAAAAAAAAAATACAAAAATTAGCCAGATGTGGTGGTGCATGCCTGTAGTCCCAGCTACCCAGGAGATTGAGGCAGGAGAATCTCTTGAAACTGGGAGGTGGAGGTTGCCGTGAGCCAAAAGTGTGCCACTGCACTCCAGCCTGGGTGACAGAGCAAGATTCTATCTCACAAAAAATAATTAAGAGTCCAGAAATAAACCCATATATCTATGACCAAATAATTTTTTTTTTTTTTTTGAGATGGAGTCTCGCTCTGTCGCCAGGCTGGTGTGCAGTGGCGCCATCTTGGCTCACTGCAAACTTTGACTCCAGGATTCAAACAATTCTCCTGCCTCAGCCTCCTGAGTAGCTAGGAATACAGGTGTGTGCCACCACACCCAGCTAATTTTTCTATTATTTAGTAGAGAGGGGGTCTTACCATGTTGGCCAGGATGGTCTCAATCTCTTGACCTCAAGTAATCCACCCACCTCAGCCTCCCAAAGTGCTGGGATTACAGGCATGAGCCACCGCGCCCGGCCAACTTTGGTACTTTAAAAAGATTATTACGGAGACTGGACACAGTGGCTCATGCTTGTAATCCTAGCATTTTGGGAGGCGAAGGCAGGTGGATCACAAGATCAGGAGGTCAAGACCATCCTGGCTAACATGGTGAAACCCCTCTCTACTAAAAATACAAAAATACAAAAAAAAAAAAAATTAGCTGGACATGGTGGTGCACAGCTATAGTTTCAGCTACTTTGGAGGCTGAGGCAGGAGAACCACTTGAACCCAGAAGGTAGAGGTTGCAGTGAGCTGAGATTGTGCCACTGCACTCCAGCCTGGTGCCTGGTGACAGAGTAAGCCTCTGTCTCAAAAAAAAAAAAAATCAAAAAAAAAGACAAGAGATTATTATATAGAAAGTGGGCTGGGTGCAGTGGCTTACACCTCCCAGCACTTTGGGAGGCTGAGGTGGGAGGATCACTTGAGGTCAGGAGTTTGAGACCAGTCTGGGCAGCATGGAGAGACTTTGTTTCTTAATTTTTTTTTTATTAGCCAGGTGTGTGGCATGTGTGTGTAGTCCTAGCTACAGGTGTGTAGGCTGACGCAGAAGGATCCTTTCAGCCCAAGAGTTCAAGGTTGTAGTGAGCTATGATTGCACCACTGTACTCCAGCCTGGGTGACAGAGGGAGACCTGGTCAATTAAAGTCACAACAAAACAATGAAAAGACAAACAACTCAATTAAAAATTAGGCCAAGGATCTGAATAGAAATGACTTCTCCTTCGTAAGGAAGATATGCAAATGGCCAATAAACACATTTTTTAAATGGTCAACATAATTAGTCATCAGGGAAATGGAAATCAAAACTTTGAGACACCACTTCACACCCACTAGGATGACTGGAATCAAGTCAGATTAAATGTTGGCAAGAGTATACAGTAATTGGAACCCTCACTGACTGCTGGTGGAAATGTCAAGTGACAAAGTTACTTTGGAAGACAGTCTGGAAGTTCCTTAAATTATTAAACATAAGAGTTACTGGCAAGGTATGGTGGCTCATGCCTGTAATCCCAGCACTTTGGGCAGCTGAGGTGGGTGGAGGATCACTTTAGCTCTCGAGTTCAAGACCAGCCTGGGCAACATGGCAAACCTCCCTCTCTACAGAAAATACAAAAATTAGCTGGATGTGATGGCATATACCTTTAGTCCCAGCTACTTGGGAGGCAGAGGTGGGAGGATCACCTGAGCCTGGGAGGCTGCAGTGAGCTTTGATCATGCCACTGCATGTCAGAGCCAGACTTCACCTCAAAAATAATAATAATGCTGGGCGCGGTGGCTCAAGCCTGTAATCCCAGCACTTTGGGTGGCTGAGGTGGGTGGATCATGAGGTCAAGAGATCGAGACCATCCTGGTCAACATCGTGAAACCCCGTCTCTACTAAAAATACAAAAAATTAGCTGCGCATGGTGGCGCCTGCCTGTAATCCTAGCTACTCAGGAGGCTGAGGCAGGAGAATTGCCTGGACCCAGGAGGCAGAGGTTGTGATGAGCCGAGATCATGCCATTGCACTCCAGCCTGGGTAACAAGAGCGAAACTCCATCTCAAAAATAATAATAATAATAATAATAATAATAATAATTTTTTAAAATATTGATTTCTGAAATCCTTGCTCATGTAAATAAAAAAAAAAGAATGGGCAGATTTTGCAAGTTCCTCATAAAGGGTAATTTTTAATAAAATATTTTATTGTGACAGAATGATCAGATTTTCAAAACAAAACACATGGATTGATAGAATAGATTATTAAATAGGTTATTAAAAGGAGACTGTCTTTGTTTCAATGACAGCTGTGGCACAAAGGCCAAAATAAAACAATACATAGCAGGAACCCTATGTTCCAAAGAGGGATCTGATAACCAGGCATTGCAGAGCAAGTAGCTAGACAATTTTTGAAATATTTAGTTCAGTATTCACCTTGAGGGTCTAAAAAGAGTTGAGAGTAAAGAGGCAGTGGGTTTTCTTGGGGAAAGTTTTTGGAATGCTGGCATTTTCCCTCGGTACACTGCAGGGGAAAGGTGTACAGGGGGAAAATACCAAAGGTGACTGCTTTCCCTTCAAGCTTCGTGTATGTTCCTTGCAATTTGTGGGCCATAATGGTCTGCTTTTTTGTCATTTTGTCTTGTTTATATTGCATTTTTAGAGTTTTTGCCCCTACTATTATTGCATTTATTTATTTATTATTTTGAGTATGTGAAATACTAACATAGTTACCAGAACTATACGAAGAGTTACACTCAGAGAAGTATCACCCCTCCCTCACCATTCTTTCCATTCCATTTCAACCACATCTCATTCTTTCCGCCCCATTCCTACCTCCCTCCTATTGGTGAAGAATCTCATTCATTTCTAGTTTATACTTCCTATGTCTTTTGCACAAGTGAATAATTTTTTATTTCTCCTTTTTTCTTTCTTTTTTTTTTTTTTTTTTTTGAGACGGAGTTTCGCTCTTGTTACCCAGGCTGGAGTGCAATGGCGCGATCTCAGCTCACCGCAACCTCCGCCTCCTGGGTTCAGGCAATTCTCCTGCCTCAGCCTCCTGAGTAGCTGGGATTACAGGCACGCGCCGCCATGCCCAGCTAATTTTTTGTATTTTTAGTAGAGACGGGGTTTCACCTTGTTGACCAGGATGGTCTCGATCTCTTGACCTCGTGATCCACCCGCCTCGGCCTCCCAAAGTGCTGGGATTACAGGCTTGAGCCACCGCGCCCGGCCCTCCTTTTTTCTTATACTAAGGATAGTAGCTTGTGGATACTCCTGCATTTTCCTTTTTGCACTTGCACTTAACAATATATCCTTCAAATCCCTCCTAATCGGAAGTGATCGGTTTATAGAGATCTTCTGCACCCCCCCCCCCTTTTTTTTTTTTGAGACAGAGTCTCGTTCTGTTGCCCAGGCTGGAGTGTGGTGGTGTGTAATCTTGGCTCACTACAACCTCTGCCTCCCAGGTTCAAGTGATTTTCCTCCCTCAGCTTCCCGAGTAGCCGGAACTACAGGCACTCACCACCACACCTGGCTCATTTTTCTGTATTTTTTAGTAGAGACGGGGTTTCATGGTGTTAGCCAGGATGGTCTCCATCTCCTGACCACAGGTGATCCACCCGCCTTGGCCTTCCAAAGTGCTGGGATTTTTTTTTTAACATCTGCAGAGTAGCACTCTATTGTGTGGATAACCACTCTTTTCATACAGACATTTAATTGTTTTCAATATTTGCAATTATAAATGATGTTACAGTGTATATTACTTTTTTTTTTTTTTTTTTTTTTTTTGAGACAGAGTCTCATTCTGTTGCCCAGGCTGGAGTGCAGTGGTGTGATCACAGCTCACTGCAGTCTAGATTTCCTGGGCTCAAGAAA